TTTCTCCTACTCTTCCTTATTAATTAATTAATTATTTATTTATTAAATATAGTTTTTTATCTTTTGCTTTCATGAATGCTCCGCTTGTTAATCTGGTTAAACTCGCCGTTCTAGATATATCTAGAAATTGATATATGATGTAAAAGTTCCTCTTTTGTACGATAGAAGGAACGAACGTTCTCGCATATTCCCACTTTATTTGTATGTTACCTCCTATTCCATTCGTCAGTTACAAACAGTGTGGAAAACAAGACAGTTGTTATTTTTTTGTTTTCCAAGGATATTGCAATTTGATTTTGAAATATCGATTTTTTTTTTGTATGTTATTTTAAAGGTAATTAGGTTGTATCCAGCATTCTTGAATCTTCCAGTCTGAAGATTTTCGACTGTAGATATACAGATTATATGGCTTTTCTAAAATAGCGTAATCTGTTTCTTTGTAGGCAAAACGTATGTTGTTTAGAGTAAGTTCGAGAGTTCAGCAACAAAATTATACAAGAAACAAAAAAATGAAAACAATAGAAAACCGATCGCCAATTTCAATTAAATCGAGCGTTCCCTGATTGAACAACCTGACCTACATTGAATCTAACTTAGACAGAGCGCACCCTTACACAGACGCGTTCGTCTAAAAGGAAAGGAAATTGAAAATCATGGATGTAAAACATAAAAGATTTATGCTCAGGTGTTAGATGTTTGTTAGATGTTAAATGTTAGATGTCAGTATGACCTTGAACGGTATGAAAAATTTCCCAAGTGGAAGATCTTCAACCAGCGATGACTTTTCGGTTATTTCATTTGAGTTTCACTTCTACATTCGTTACAGGACAGGGGTGCGAGATAAATGACAAACTCGTTTGGTAACGTAATGAACAAATGTGGAGTTGTTTTGTTGACATAAGCAACATGACCGATCATTCCCAGTAAACTCGTGTGGTTTTTCAAAATTAAAAAATACAAACAATCGGCATCAAGGAACCGAACTGTTCATTCAAAGGAATTTATGGGAATAGTCCGTTACTCTTATTTATTGAATTTTGTAGACATTTGCTCAACTTTTCCTCAACCAAAAGTTCAACGGTCGGCTATAAGAAGTAACATATAAGACAACACCCGCTCCGACAAATTGCACATACGTTTTCTTTACATTCTGTAGCAAATTGAGAAAACGATAGAATGACGAGGTGAAGACATTCGAAAGAGGAGAAAGCTTATGACAATGGATTTCAATCTGTTATGTAATGATTCCAGAGACTACGAAACAGCGATGGGATTGGATGTTTTTTCTACAAATATGGCCCACCTTCTCTTGCTGCTCCTTTAACCGTGCGTTCTGATATCAAACAGAATGAAGGATTTTCAGCTCACCTTGGCGATAATGATTCGTTTATACTTTCAACGTAATGATGAGGGCTCTATTACGCATTGG